TGAGTGGCGGCTGTTGGGAAAGCCCTGAGGCTGCTGCGCCTCCCCTCGGTCGCTGGAGAAGCTCTTAGGGTGCAGGGACCCAAGAGTAACACCCTGTCGAGAGAAAGGCGAGGGCCCGGGCTCCGTCCCTTGTAAAGAACAGAGAGAAGCACCCGGAGCCAGGGCAGAACTGGTGGCCTGTGGCTGTGGTGTGTGTGCAGGTGAGGCTCCGCCCGGGCAGGTGGCCGTGCCCAGGGCCCTGGGCCTCCGCTCCCAGGAGCAGGCACCCAGATACCGCCAGACGCATGTGAGTTCTAACTGCTTTGCAAACGAAACCAAGGCTACAGAGAAACTTTGGGATTATAAAATGTAACCTTTATAAGTGGCAAGTGAACTCCTCCTTGAAGAAAACCAGTTGTGACAGGGGCAAAAAGGAAAATCAGGTCCAAGTGGGGATCATGTTTTATTCAGGGTTTGTGCTGCTGGTGGGGAGGCTGGCACTCGGTGACAGGACAGGAAAGTGGGACACCCCGACTTCAAGCCTCATCCACTCTGCCACGAAGTTCTTCTTGCTTCACTGAGCTCGGCTCCTGGGGACCTCTAATGGCCCTTGATGGCAAACATAGTTAAAAATTAACAGACTGACACCATTAAATATGGATGACCGGCAACCATCGTGGACCTAAGCTGACACAGAGTGTTACGCGCCTGGGTGCCCTTGTCCTGAGCGAACCTGTGGGGTGTCTGAGCACATTCATTGCACACACTTGCCTGGCAGTGAGGGCCTGGCTTGTGCTGAGGACAGACAGGAAGGGGGTCTGAAAGCCCAGGAGAGGGAACTGTCCCCAGAGACTTAGGTTTTTTTAAGCCCAACCTTGGCTGGCGTTAGCAGGAGGTGTGCCCAGGCCCAGGACCTCGTGTTCAGGGTGAGGATCTGGGTCCTGCCCGGCACCAGCCTCAGCAGCACCTGAGGGGACTGGGAGGGTTGCAGGAGCTCAGGCTGGGCTGCAGCGAGGCCTGAGCTCCTGCAGGAGAAGCCTGGCCTCCCGCCCCAGCGGTTCATTTGGACAGGGTGGCAGCCTTGACTTCAGAGCCAGTTCACATGAGTCTTGACAGTTTGCCTGGACAGTGGCAGCTTGTTGAAGGAAGAAGTATGGGGTGGATGTTCCCTTACAGAGTGATCGCTAGTGGGCCTTCTTTCTTGAAGCAAAATTCCTGAAAGTGTTGTCCAGTTTTGGTGAATGCTTTTTTTAGATATGGGGAGAGTTACTATTTAAAAGAACCCTGTAATTAGTGCCTTGAAGAGGTTCATCTCTATTGCATTGGAAACATCAGTCTACTTGGTGAGCATGGAGTTTCCTGGATGAGGCGCGGATGCGTCTGGCCGGGCCACCTGCAGCAGAGTTTGCTGCGGGACCTGCCGGGCTTTGCTTGGTGACGCTGCTCTAGAGCTCCAGTCCTCGACACTGGAGTGGGTGGGCCAGAGGTCGTTGTCATTGTGTGAGAGTGGTGACTGTTGGGAAAGCCCTGGCAGGACACTCAGACACAGTGGCAGAAATCTGCCCAAGAATATCCATGCCTTGGAAAGCAGGGGGAGCTGGGCTCTGAGTGGTGCTGGGGGCGCCTGCTCTGTGGTGAAGCAACTGCATTCGGAACGGTGAGCCTGCCGGCACCGCTTCTCACAGATGGGGTGTCCCGGGCACCCACCGGTCCGGTGGTCTTCCAGCTCTAAGTAGTGTCCCATCTAGTGGTGACATCCAGCAAATGTCACCACTAGATGGGGCCTTCCAGACCAACATTTCTCAACACCCACAATTATTATTCGCTGTTACGTAATGAAAAGATTCTGTGGTCCGATAAACTTGGAGAACCCAGGGTCCAATCAAGTCAGACAGGTTTCTTTATTGTGGAACTTCTCAGCCTTTAAATAAGCAGTGTGCGACCAGATCTGCTAGAGGGAGGCTGTGCCCCTCCCAGACCTGGCGGGCTGCGGGGCAAACGTGGCAGTGGGAGCTGGTGGCTTGGAGGGGGATAGCGCAGTGCAAGTTGTTCTGCGAGGGCCGCACAGTGCTCCTCACAGGCCACTGTCACCGGGCTGGGGTCTTCCTGTCCTTGGCAGCATTGTGGGGAAGTCACAGTCTGTCTTGTAATCCTCTGGGCCTTCATTACTTTCCTCCTGGAAATTACTTTTATGGATAGTTACTACCTTTTCTAGCATTCCACTTTATTTTTGGTTTTGCTCTTCCAACAGCCCCCACCGAGGAGTTGGGGGCCTCGGTGGGTCGGCTTTAGACCACTTCTGAAGTGTGGCAGTGGAACCACAGGCCCTGTGGCTGCAGGGTTGGGATAGCGGTAGCTGCCCCTGTTACTAAGTTCTAGCGGAGAAGTGTCCCAGGGCCTTCATGTTCCTTATTCCCTGTGGGGTGTCACAGTACTTGTGACGTGCTTAGCAGTCTCTGGCACAGAGGAAATAACCAGTGTTTGTCTGGGTTATAGATACTATGTTAGAGGTTCTTTCAGGGACTTCAGAAGCCCCTTGAATCACATGCAGGATTGTGAGTGAGAGTTCATACAAGTGTGAGTGGGTGTGCATTTTCCTGAAGATGGATCACTGTTTTACCTGGAAGGTCAGGCACATAGACTGAGTCCCTGCGGAACTGTCCACAGAGCTGGAGTCAGAGAAGTGGGGGTCTCTCTGGTGCTGGTGGTGCACCTAAAGCAGCCCCTGCACTCTGGGGGTGGCCACCTGCGGCCAAAATCGCAGCAGAACAGGCAGCCCAAGTGGGTGTGAGGGTTAAACCTTCTGCTTTCCCCCAGAGGGCAGCAGTGAGTAGCACAGAACAGTGTGTGCACCTGGGCCAGGTGCCTGAACCCCTTTTGTCGTAGGAGCCCTGCTGCTCCACTGCTTTGTGAGAAATGCTGATGAGAAGCTCTGGCTGGGCCTGGGGACACTGCCCTCTGCTGGAAGGTGGGCTCAGATGCACCCTCGGAACTGGAAGAAAAGGCAGCCGTAGGTGTCTGGAATGCAATGAGAAGAGTGCCCTCTTGACAAGTGCAGGGGTTTCCAAGCCTTGAGGCACAAGAGTAAAGGGGTTCAGGGCCTGTCTTGACTCCATCACCTCCACATTCTTCCCGAGAATCAGCCAGCCGGCGACTTCACTCCACCTCAGCTCAGCTGAGCACAACTTTTCCTGGACCCCACAGCTCACATCGGCCTGCTTGTCGTCGCCCTGGAGGGCCTGGGGTTCCTGGTCCATGAGCTGCAGGCCCGCGTGTGATTGAGAGTGCAAGGGCTGCGTGGGTGGAAGAGGCTGGAGCGCGAGAGGCTGGAGTTGGGTGTGTGGGAGATGAGGGCTTCCTTCTCGCAGTCACCTGCACTGAAACGAGACTCCTGCCATCCACCCTGCAGCTCTGTATCTCCTCTGTGAACACCACCATGTCTTGGCATCGTGGGCTCAGCGCCCCGGGCCGCACACCCAGGCAGCACCAGCCGCCACCACCACTGCCCCCAGCCCTGGTGCACACAGACCCCTCCCCTTCCCCCGTGTTTAGGTTCCCAGCCCTCCACCTGCCACAGGGCTGTGCCCCGCCCTACCCTTTCCCACCTGTCTCAGGAAGGCAGCTCCAGCTCTGCCCTTTGCTTAGTGAGCAAGTGGATTCAGATGCACAGAGCTATAAACCATGGGTAGGTATGCGTTTTTTCCTTATGTCTCTGTCTCCCCCTTCTGCCCTCTGCCCTCTCCCTTCTTCCCCTGTACTGTCCCCTCCCTCTCCTTTCTGGTCCTCCTCCTGCCTCCCACATCTCCCTTCTTTGTTTCTCTCCTTTGCCCTGCATACGTCCCTGAATTCCCCAAGTGACGTGTTTTTAGCCTACTTGCTTGAAAAGCTTCCCGTCCTGTGTCTCTTTAATTGTACATGTGTTGAAACGACTCTGGCCCTGCCTTAAATGGAGCTTCAGTGCCTGCTGGTGGCTCTTGAGGAACACAGCTCTGCCCTCTGATAATCTGGGGGCCCCGCTCGAGCTGGTAACCTGATCTGGTGTGGTCCCTCAGAGGGCCTGAAATGCACCCTGGCCCAGCGGGTTCCCCGAGGTGGACCTGGTGTGGGCAAACAGCCAAAATGCATCTGTGGCCCTGTGAGGTCCATTTCCCCCGAGGGGAGACCGGGCACCTCTACCAGGTTGGCAGGGAGTCCCGAGGGCAGCCCTGCACCCTGTACTGGCGGCCTGGGAGGAAATGACCCCTCTGACGGGCAGGAGGCACGTCAGGGGGACTCCAAGAACTTTGTGGGGTGCAGGGAAAAGGCTGGGGATACTATCCTGGGCTTTTCTAGGGCCCTTTCTTAGACAGCCAACTTAAGGTACCAGATCACTAGAACTGGTGACCCTGAGCCCACTGGGCCCTGTGGCCGTGGGGGATTATCCTTTGAGATACCCAGGACATGGCTCACTTCCCCACCTGTAAGATCTGGGAAGAGGCGGCAGAAGCCCCTGGGATCTACAGAGTTGCCTTGCAGGCCTCGGGCCCCTGCCACCTCCATTTCCACCCGAATGATGCTTCGTCTGTTGGTGAAGAAGGGTTTTTGCTGCAAAGTGCATTTGATTAAGCTGCCGAAGTAGATTTGTCATTCTGCCCAGTGGACAAAGCATCACGGAGTCCATTTGTGTTTGGGGCTGGCTGCCTTCTCTGGAAACCTAGTGGGAGAGATGGGGCTGTGCGTCCCTCCGAGCAGTGAGCAGAGTGTGCAGGGTACCAGGCAGCACATGGTGCCAACAAGGCAGACCCTTTTCCTAAAAGAATGGGGAAAGCATCTCCCGTCCTGGCCAGACTTCAGCCTGGCCACTCTGGCAGTCCTGAAATGGAAGGCCACTGGGGCTCCTGGAGGTGGGCGTTCTGACGGCCTGGTCTGAGTTCACAAAGGGCAGGGTGGGGATCTGGGGGCAGCACCGTGGTGCTTCTCAGCCCCTCAGGCAGAAAACTGGCAGCCCTGGTTCACAGCCTTCTCCCCACATCTCTTTCCAGATGCGCTGGCTCCCTCCCTCCGAGGCTACTTCTCAGGGCTGGAAGTCCCGTCAGTTCTGCTGAATACTATGTAAGTACTTAGCGTCAGTAACAGCTGTGGCGTGTGCCTGGTACGTAGGAGACGGTCAGCCAGCAGGCAGCTCTGTCCTCCCTCGGCACCCGCACCTGCCGCCCGGCCTTGGAGATGATCACCTGGGGTTGAGGCAGAAGGGAGGGGTGCTCCCCTAACTTCGAGAACTGAATCCTGGCCTTCCTGCCTCATCGATCAGCAGTCAGTGCGGGTCTCAGCAGGACAGGCGTCGGGGGTTCATTACTGAAGTGCGGTGCCCTTGCTGCCAGCAGAGCCTTCCTCAGGTTCCAGGCACAGGTGGTCTCACTTTACACGGGGGTTTATTATGAGAGCTTTGGAGTTTATTGGAATTCACGTCCCGGCACGCACGTATGTATGTTACAGCTTTGGGTAACGTTCACAAAATTTCTCGGGGCTGAGAGAAGATGCACTGCATCAGGAGTTTATCAGAGGGACTTACCTGGGAGGTGTGTCTTAGGTGCTGGCAAGAAGATCATGGGTCTCCTGTGCACCACCTAAAGGTGGCGGGCACTAAAGACTGACACAGCACAGGGCAGAACGGACGGTGGCACTGGTGTGACTGCCCCAGGTAGAGGGGTGGCACCTCATGTGTTCACGGGGCCTGACCAGGAACTAGCGAGTGGTGGGGCCCCGGGGGGGGGGGGGGGAGGTTGCTGCATTCAATGGGCTCTGGCCCTGGTCTGGCTTGTGGGTCAGCAGAGGGCAGGTCATGGAGCAAACAGTCCCACCCCCACAGTGCGCAGGCTCTGAGCTTTGTGAAATGCACAGTGTTTGCGTTGGGGACATACAGCGTGGCTATTTATAGTAGGCTTTTCCCGAAAGTGTCTCGTCCTGAGGGAAACAATGGCCTGAATTGGCAACTTTGTGCCATTTTACTTTAGGCGTAACCTTACTTCAGAGCACTACCAAATGAATGTTTTCCCTACAAATGTAGAATTCCTATGAAAATTCCAAGTGCCTTTTTAATTCAGTATCTGGACTGCCTTTTTGTTAAGTACTAAGCACCGTTTCTTTGAAGTGCGAATTTGGGGAGTCTGCCCCAAAGTAACCCTTTTAAATGGCAGGTCAGTCCTCTCGTGGTCTGTCCTGCTCCCTCACAAAACAGGACAGCGAGGGCAGGGCCGGACCAGACCCTTGTCCTGTCAGGGATGCCAAGTTGTAGTGCGCCTGCCTGCGTCCGGGCTGGCACCACAGTCATGGTCCTTTGCTTGGAGAGCTTCCATTCTAAGGTAAAAACACTTCCCAATTAGACCGATGTGCTTCTCCCACCATCAGTACTGAGCGCCATGTGCCTTTGTTAGACCACGCGAGGCCATCGTCGCTCTCTCAGGAGGTACTACCCCGGGGCAGAGCGCTGGTGTCCCGCGGCCTTAGGCCCACTCACCGGGAAAACGCCGGAGAAGCTGCAGGAGAAGCTGCAGCGCTGGGGCCCCCTGCTCTGGGCCGGTGCCCATCAGTGACGGGGCGTGTCGCGCCGCACGGGTTTGCACCGAGTTCCGGGCTTTATTTTCCAAAGATGGGTTGCCCTGTTGACCTCAGGTCTCAGTCAGTGGGTCAGGTCACCCTCAGTTCAAGTTCTTACTACTGTAGGCGGGGGCGCTTCGAGCGCTCCAGTCCTGGCGCAGATGCCGTCCTTCCAAACCCTCAGTGGTCCTGGGCCTGCTTTTCCCAGACCTGCTTTGAGGGGTTTGTAACTGACCCTCTTTGACTTCTTGTTTCTGGGGGGTAATCAGTGGCTATAAAAGTAAATAAGCTCTTAGTTCTTTAAACACACATGTATTATATGTTGACTACGTGCTAGATATTAAAATGTGCAAAACCGGGCCTGTGCCCCAAAGGAGCTTAAATTCTAATAGGTGAGAATCGTGCACATTCATTTGAGAGAGAAGGGAGAGAGACCTCAGGAAGCTCCCGATGAGCCTGCCCACAGCAAAGCTCCAGTCAGTGTGGCACACGAGTGCTGACCTGTGCGAGCGTGTAAGGTGGACGGTCAGAGGGGCGGGTGTTAGGGGTGTTTTAATTTGTTCCTTATCTTCCTTGATGGGTGGTGCTTAGACTACAAGCTCTGTCTACCCATCCCTGGTTTTGCTAACGATCCCGCCTGGTGGCAGAGAACACCAGACAGAATACATGCTGGCGATTGAAGATGATCGACTCCCAGGTGTGCTGAGGGCAGGAAAGCGCAGGACGTTTTCAGTCACTTCTCACAGGGAGTGGGAGTCACGTGGCTTTCCTTTTTGGCCATCCAAAGGTAGTGGCAGTGCGGGCCGTGTTAGGCGTTGGGGTGGGTGTGGGAGGGGTCCTTTAATAAGAACTCATGAAAATTCCCTGGCTGTGGACCACGACCACAGCATAGAAATTACAGCAGTAACAGCATCACAGAATTAGAGAAGGACTCGGCAGGAGATAAGGCCAGGACTTGAAGCTGCTTATTCCCGATGTGTGGTTCTGGGTGGCATGGCCTAGGCTCGGGCTGAGCATGGGGCCTCGGGATGGAACCGTGATCAGAGGAGTCCCAGGTGCTGGGTGGCTGTCAGGGCACGGTTTGGGGCAGGAAGGGCACTGAGTCTTCACACAGGCCCAGACAGGTGTCGTGGCTCCCCCCGTCACCCCGCCTGCTCCCTAGAAGAGACCCAGGCACCATGCTGTCACGCTGCAGCGTGCCCAGAAACGAGGTGGGACCCAGCACTGGTCTGCCATTCCCCTTCTCCATGACACAGACATTCACTGAACGTCAGCAACGTGTACGGTGCTCTTCTGGGTGCTGACGATGAAACGGCAGCAGCAGACAAAACCCTGGCCTTACCGTGAGCTGACTAATGGGAGGGTGCGGGCGAAGCAAGGGCAGATGTGGGCCGGCAGGCACTTGGTTTTACCCGGTGGAGCAGCGGAGTCAGGCTCAGCCTGACGCCCTTCGAACAGAGACCTGACGTTCTCCCGGATTTATGTGGGGCTCCACGTCAGAACGGACCTCACTTCAGTCAAGGTTAGAGAATAATTTCACCTCACTAATCCTCTCCTCCTTGCTCACCCTGAGCTAAATCGAAGTAAACAGGCTTGGAGTACAGCAGGCTTAAGTGAGGCGAGGCCCCTCGGAGCGCTGGCGGAGAACAGAGCGCCCGGGCAGCCCTTCCCTGAGAGGTTGCTCCATTTTCCCCACGAGGAGCCTGGTTCTGCTTCCCTGGAGCCTTGGGATCTGTTAAGCTTCCCTTGTGAGTTACAAAGGCGGGACAGGCCCGAGAACCTGCCCCCTCCAGCCACTGCCAAGTCCTCCAGGCTTCGGAACAAAAGACGTCTGCCAGCCACACGTGCATGAGCTCATCTCACACCAAGAGGTTATGACAGCCTAACGCGGTCAGAGGTGTCATTTCGCCACTGTTGCCCATGTTCTGTTTCCTGCGAGTCCCCCTGGGAGGTCTTCGAGACCCCAGAGAGTATTACATGCACCAGGAGAGTCGCCTGGGCCCTAGGAAAAGTGCAGTGAGGGCAGCCACGTGTTTAGTCCAGGCGTGGAGTCCCGGTGGGGCCTGGAGAGTGGTCGCAGCTCAGGGCCACCTACAGCAGCCTGGGCCCCGACCCTGCACTTCCATCCCATCCCCCTCGGCCAAAACAGGGAGTTGGAAGGCCCATGTGCTCTCCGTAAAGCCGAACGTGAACGTGTCCAGACTTCCCTCCCGTGTTGTGCGCTCTTCGGGGAGTGATCTCCCAGTGCCTCTGGAGAACAGGCCTGTGTGGTCCCTCTGCCCACCGCTGGGCCCAGGTGTGTGGACACATGTCATTGATATAAAAAGTGGGCAGGGCACAGCTGGGTGCTGAAACCCTATACTCCAGGACCTGGTGACAGCTAGGGTTCCTGGCCGATTTTGTTCATCAGTCCGAGGTCACACTGAGAGCACGCCTCAGCCTCGCTTACAGAGTGGGCGCCTACAGATGCAGCTGTGGTCTGGCAGCCCCAGGAGGGCCCCCCCCATCTGCTGCTGCTGCCTGGAGGTGCTCCCTCCCCCGTCCTTCCCCCCTCCCTCCTGTGTCTTGGCAAGTTTAGAAAGCGTGAGAGAAGTTTGGTAAGTTAGTAAGTTTTTATTGTGAAGATGAGCATTTTCCTGTCCTGAAATAACCCTACTGTAACTAGTCTCGTCAGAGTCACATCGACTCACCTTTAATGTTTTTATAGTGAAATTGTGGGGAAAACTTTCCCCTTAATTCTGAGAGCTGCCCCAGGAAGGTGATCTTTCCTTCAGCCTGATGCAGGGTCCCAGAAGTGGGCTTCAGCTGAACCCCAGCGCCACGAGGCCTCCTTCGGGAGGGCCAGCTCCCGGTGCCGGGAACTGGTGCGACCTTTATGGGGGATTCCGAGGCTCGCCGCAGTGCACGTGCACTTCCGCTCACAAAGCCTGCGTGCCACAGCCAGCCTGCCTGCGCGAAGAGCGGTGCCGGCCGGGGCTGGAAGCCAGAACTGTCGGAGGGGAACAGGGCCATTGGCACCCAGTGCTGGCCGCTGGGCTTCCTTCCTCAACACCAGCAATTCTCATGAACACCTGCTGGCTCCCAGACAGCCATGCCTGCAGGGAGAGTTTTAAAACACTTCGTATTTGCTGGGTCTCCGCACCTTCCTATTTCAGAATTCTCAGACCCTAGAGAACAGAAGGATATGCTCACAAATGTTTCCTTTTGGGTTTTTGTTTTCCATCAGGTGCTTGGAGTACAGGTGAGCTCCGAGGTGCCTGTGACCCCACAGGAATCTCCTAGAGACCTGGTTTTGTGACCTTGGGCTGCCCAGTTGGTACTCTGGCTGAGAAGGCACTGGAGTAGTTAGGTCTTGGCTGTCCTTCCCTTTGGGGACCTCTGGTGCTGTGGCTTTCTCAGCAGGGCTTTGGTCGGTCCTGGGGACCCAGCCCCTGGGAAAGGCAGCAGCTGGTGCTGCCGCTCTGCCACCAGGTGGTTTCCATCTTCATACTCTCGAATGTGTGACGACGTCCCCT